TGCCGACTCACAACCCACGCAAGCTAGATAATTCCGCACACAGCTGCAATTCCAGGTTTTCAAACAGAGATGGCGACAAAAAGGCAAAACTTACAGACTACAGCTTTAAATAAAATATCTCCTTTTGAAGTGGACTTTGAACTTTGTAACTTTGCAGTTCTTTTTTATGCTCAAACAGCAACATTACAGACTAACTAAAGTTGAAAAAGTGAAAAAGCATAATAGGACCCCTTTAAGTATTTAAAGGGTTAGTTCACCCAAAAAGGAAAATTCTGTCATTAATTACTCACATGGTAAAATGATGGTTGAACTCCTGATGTCACATGGATTATTTTACCGATCTCCTTGCTACGTCTCTGGACTTGGGAACATTTCAGTTGCGTTGCTGTCTATGCAGGGTCAGACAGCTCTCAGATTCCATCAAAAATATCTTAATTTGTGTTCCGAAGGTGAATGAAGGTCTTATGGGTTTGAAACGACATGAGAGTGAATAATTAATGACAGAATTTTCATTTTTGGGTGAACTAACCCTTTAATAAATGTTCCTGGATTTTTCTATTTAAACATTCACTAGACTGACGTCTTGGACCATTGCATTCACATCTCGCATTGTTTGCATCTGTGCTGTGTTTTTAGAATGCCATGTCAAGGTGAAAGTTGTTCAACTTTATAAAAAAAAAAATTATAATAATTTATTATTATTATTTCACTGCCCTGCTCCCATGATTTTTCTTTGAAACTGGAAACTTAACCAGCTTTTTTGCTGATTTAAGGCAAGTACATCAGGCTGTGAAAAAATATTAACCACTAACATCATAACCCACTTTTCGTCATCCAATCATGAAGGATAAAATCAAGTCCCATTCTACATTGTTTCCCGCTGGATATTCGGTTTAATTACAAGAATAATGCACCATATTGTGGTGTTGGGAATGTTAAAAAAAAGTGACAAACTATATAAAGAATAACTGATTAGCTGCAGCCCTCATTTTATCAAATTTGGTAATGCTAATGAATGGCATGTGGTAGTCAAATACTAGACACCAGTTCACTGTCCTTGTATTCCCTTTACTGGGCTGATCTCACAGAAAAAGCTGATGGTGGTGTCTCTGCGGTGTCTAGCCACAGTTCACCCAGCATCTGTAGCTCCTATATTAAATATGACCTCTGAGATCTCCAGCAAACTCCTCCATATAAAGAGTGCAGCACTGCATAGCTGAATCATTGATTTACTCTGAAACTCTACTGTTAGGATCCTCTGACTGAGTAAACTAACTTGTTTACTTTGACTGAAACTTGTCGCTTAAGAACAGCCAGCTGTTCCAAACTTATCACATACACCAGGAGATGCATGACAATCACACTCGATTGCAGTATAGATGGCTTCATCGATTGTCATCTGAAAGTTCTGGTTTTTCTGCACATGGTGTAATTATTATCCCAGCAGACATTTCATTTTATTGGTTCTTTCACTATTAACCTCCACTGTATGGTACAGCATCCCAACACTTGTGAGACTAAAACCTATTATCTGTTACCTGATCAATCTGATCATTTCCTGGAGCCGAAGGGTCGTCACTGTGACCTCTGGCATCTGATTGGACCCCATTAGTGCCAGCCGATCCATCTATGAGTGCTGCTTTTCCATCATTAACATCTGCATGCTCTTGAAGAGCTGCACAGATGCATAAAGAATACTATAATTAAGCCCACTTCTTAAAGGGATAGTAAACTATCCCTTTAATTCTTATCCTAAATTGTTTGTGAGGAAAAACAGATGCATGAGCTTCTCTCACCTTTCAATTTCTTCTGCAGGGCGGAGTTTTCAGCCTGTAGACGCAGGAGCTCAGCATCCACTGGACCAGAGGCAGGTCCTTCCAGCCCTTGACCCTCCCTCAGTCTCCGACTCTCTAATTCTAACTGCTCGATCTGAGAACATAACTGCACCAACACACCGCACAACCCATCAGAAAACAGAAAAATAATGTAAAAACTCAACCCATAATGGGCACAAAGGTAGGGACTGTCATCTCTGTGATGTGCCACTTTTGATAAAATATAAACACTACTGCTCAAAAGTTTGCGATCAGTAAGATGTTATAATTTTGGTTTAAAGAAATTAATACTTTTATTCAGCAAGGATGCATTAAATTGATCAAAAGTGACAGTAAAGACATTTGTAATGTTACAAAAGATTTCTATTTCAAACAAAAGCTGTTCTTATGAACTTTAAAAACCATCACAGTTTCCACAAAAATATTAGGTAACACAACTGTTTTCAACATTGATAATAAATGTTCTTTAAGCACCAAATCAGCATATTAAAATGATTTTTGAAGAATCATGTGACACTGAATACTGGAGTAATGTATATTGATTCTTCCATGGAAACTGTCTGCCATTTGAGTTGTAATGTTGACTAAATTGTAGCAATGTGACTACTGTGTGAGGCAAATGAGATTCTAGTTATAAATTACTGATGTAGTTCCTGTGAGTGTGAGCAATTTGTTTCTAGTGTAGTTGTGCATAAAGCTACCGGGTTCAAATGCTCATGGTCATGACAGGGGTTAAATATTGTTTGTGTGCTCAGCACCTTGGACAGCTCTTGCATGAGGGTGCTGTTCTGCAGTCTGAAGTCATCTTCCTGACTGTGTAACTTGCCCTGAAGCATTTTATTCTCATTTAGTAAGGCATCTACCTCCTGAAAATAAGAGAATAAAACAGCATGGTTAGAAGACAGAGATTTTTCCCAAACAACTCAGGATATCATTTCATTTTATTCGTATTCAACTAATGTCAAAAATCAAACACTGATATAAGAAGAAATCTCACCTGTGCTTTCTTGCTCTTGTTCAAAGCCTGAGGGTGAAAATGAAAAAGAAAACATTATCTAAACTAAATTGTTAAAGTCCCCCTGTAGTGAAAATCAAGTATTTAATGTTGTTTATTTGTCTATATGGTGTTTTTAATATGCCTTTAGACAAACCATGTGCCAATCTATTAATCAACACCATTGCTGAGTATTTTCTCCTTAAAACTGTAGTTTCCCAAAGGCTGACCCAGAAATGCGGTTTGAAACAGCCCTCGGTTTGCTACGTCACAAACCAATAACCAATCACGTCAAGGGATAGATTCCTATCACTAGCATGCAAAATATACCAATACCAGCACAAAACCAAAAATAAATCAGAGCAAAAAACCTGTGGTTTAATGTGAATTTAAAACCGCTAACTTGCATTACAACCCGTGGCAACAGTGTAAAAGTAGCCCAGAGTCAGACGCACCTCTCCCGCATCAGCATCTGCACTTCACACGCGTATGCTCGCGGGCGCAAATTAAGAATCCCAAACGGCTGCATTCGAGCCTTCAAGGCATTTTAGGACACAACATCGTCAAGTAAGTAACTTTAACGAATGATACAGTATTCACTGTAGTTGTCCGCTAGTAAAAACATAGTTTTATCAGTCATTATCCGTGTATGCCATTGTTTTGCATTTACTACAGTTCAGTGGATCAGGAGGCGCTGGCTGGTGTGACCGAGTGGAGGTGGGACTAATTTGCATATTCATAGATCCGCGTATAGTAAATGAGGCAAGGGTGTAGAGTTACATTCAAGCTATTTTAAGGAATGAGAAAATTATTTTCACAAGAAAAAACATTTAAACATGTAATTTTGATGATCAAAGTTAAGTTTTAAGGGATAAAATATTTGACTACAGGGGGACTTTAACTAAAATAGAATTGATCCTAAAATACCACCAAGAGATTTTGTTTCTTCATCAAAAAAGATTTGAAATAATTTAGCATTGCATCAATTGCTCACCAATGGATCCTCTGCAGTGAATGGGTGCAGTCAGAATGAGAGTCCAAACAGCTGATAAAAACATCACAATAATCGACAAACAATCCACATGACTCCAGTCCGCTTCCTCCAGTGAAAAAGTCCATCCCCCTGTTGTCCTCTCACATCAAAATCCACCGACATATTGGTTAGAATGGTTTTGGACTGATTTTGCTTGTAAACAGAGCTTGGTCTGCGCATATTTCTCTCCTGATTCAGACAAGATGACATTTCCACTGGAGAAAGCAATATTATGGATAAAGGACTTCTATATTAGCAACGGTTTAAAGTTAAAACATCTTTATGATGGATTTGTTTCTTACAAACACACAGCTTTTCACTTCTCGAGACGTTAATTGATGGACTGGAGTCATGTGGATTACTGTGATGTTTTTATCAGCTGTTTAGACTCCCATTCTGACGGCACCCATTCACTGCAGAGGATCCATTAGTGAGCAAGTGATATAAAGATAAATCTCTCCAAATCTGTTCAGATGAACAAACTCATCTACATCTTAGATGGCCTGAGGGTGAATAGCTTTTGGTTGAACTATTCCTTTAAAGAAGAACTGTGCAAAACTAGCATGACCAAACAAAAACTGCAAAATTGATTGTTATGAACATTTAAACATCACTTTTAGCAAACTGCTTCATTGCGCCTATTCATACAGACTTATGAGTGGTTTTGCAATGCTGAGTCATGGACACAATGTATTGTCTTACATTTTGATCATTACGTTTGCAACACTTACAACATGACCATTGCGAGACTAGTGACTTTTTGTGTTGCAATGCATGCAAACTGTCTAGTTCACTTTAGGAAAGTATAGAAGAAAAAGAAACACTAGAAGAAAAAAAATAAAAAATTGGAACAGATCAGAACAGTCAATTACTCCCAGCCCATTAAAAGAGAAACAAGAAGAAGAAAGGCACACAAAGAATTCACAAGGCCTGCAGTAAAGCTTGACCTCTATCGCATGGCAATGACCTGCTGAAAAACCAAAGAAAGCCACTACCTTCTGTGCTTTGACATAGTCTTTCTCCAGGTTCAAGGTCTTCTGACGGACACTGTTGAGCTCTGCAACACAGAATAAATAAAGTTACAAAATAACTCGAAAAAACAAGGTACTAAACTCACTTCATGCAATGAAACACAAATACGTGCATTTATCACTTTTGAGAAACTGCTAATGCATTTTGTTAATAATTAGCAGGACTATATAAAATAATGCAAGTCAACATAATAGCCTGCATACATGAAATTAGCGTTTTCTCAGAAAGTTCACTGATAAAAAGGGTAGGATTGCCAAATCATTCATAATGTCTTAAGATGCTGTGTTGCTTAATATAACATCTGCCTTTACTGACCAATAAGGAGATTTCAAAACTGTAAACGATGAGTAGCGCTGAAAAGTTTCCATACACTTTGAAGTTGCTGTTTTGTTTTTGCATGTTATAACTGTCAAAGTTTATTCCATAATTATGGAACTCTGCTATATTTTTATCCCATAATTCCACTTAGTATGTATCCAGGAACAGCACAAAAAATTAATCAGGGACAAAATATAAATAAATAAATAATCACATTTCAATTATTATTTCTGAAGATGTAACGTCATCTTAAAATTCCCAACATTATAAATATCTAAAGTAGAGATTCCCAAACCCTTTGAGCTAAAATATTTATTTTGAAGTCAATAATTGAACAACACATTAGCATGTTCATGGTTCACTGATCACATGGTCACATGCAGAGGCGGACAGTAACTAAGTACATTTACTTGAGTATTGTACTTAAGTAAACTTTTTGAGTATCTGTACTTTGCGTGAGTATTCTTTTTTCTATTCCACTTAGTATGTATCCAGGAACAGCACAAAAAATTAATCAGGGACAAAATATAAATAAATAAATAAATAAATAAATAATCACATTTCAATTATTATTTCTGAAGATGTAACGTCATCTTAAAATTCCCAACATTATAAATATCTAAAGTAGAGATTCCCAAACCCTTTGAGCTAAAATATTTATTTTGAAGTCAATAATTGAACAACACATTAGCATGTTCATGGTTCACTGATCACATGGTCACATGCAGAGGCGGACAGTAACTAAGTACATTTACTTGAGTATTGTACTTAAGTAAACTTTTTGAGTATCTGTACTTTGCGTGAGTATTCTTTTTTCTGGGAACTTATGACTTTAACTTCATTACATTTGAAAGACAAATATCATACTTTTCACTCCACTACATTTCTTCCAAGGTCCTCGAAGTAGAAAGTTCCAAATGTGATATTTATTTGCAACAATTGTATAATAAGAAGTTAAAATTGTGTACTTGAAAATATTACCTATAAAGCCACAGAAAAACTGTTGTGCATCTCCTAATAAAACAAGTACCACGAGAGCGATTAGACCGCATTTTTAAAAAAAAAGTTTTCATATCAAATAAGCCTTGCTGTTTTGCTTTTTTGTTAAAGCAGTGTTTCTGTTGTAAAGTTATACAGCTACAGCTGTGTTTTAAAGCAGGTTTGATTTTGTTTCTTCCTTATCACTCTGTATTTACAGGATGTCACTGTCCACTCTGTTCAAATGTGGATGAATGGCTACACATAGATGTGTGCACACACTGTCAGAGCTGTGTGAGATCACTACCATCCTGCTTTTGTGGGGGTGGGTAGAGGTGTTAAATAATTTTAAAAAAAAGTATTTATTTATGTTTAGTTTTTTCCCCATAGGTTTTTAACATTCTAAAAGCTCTTTATTCCAAAGATACTACAAGCTAGCCAGTGTATTCAGTAGGTGTAATTTATTCTAAGTTGCTTCAGAAGTATTGCAAGTATTACATACAACAATAAAACGGTGCATTGACATAAGAAAGTAAATATACTTTTGGTACTTAAGTACTTTTAAAAGCAAGTACTTCTGTACTTTTACTTAAGTAAAAATCTCTTTACAACTTTTACTTGTAATGGAGTAATTTTTGACCAGCAGTATCTGTACTTTCACTCAAGTAATGGAGTTGAGTACTTTGTCCGCCTCTGGTCACATGACATGCATTTAAATATAGATTTTAATTTTTAATATTTTATTTCAAATCATACAATTTTGAGTTTTGTTTTAAAATCATTTATTTGTTTAAATTTTACACTCTACAGGATTGAGGTGCATGAGCAAAACATGAACTCCTTGATATATTTTAAGCTTCTGCAAATATTTACTTTAATATATTTAATATTTAAATATTTAATATATTAAATTCAATATTTATAAGTTCATACATTGTAACTTAATGCCCACTGATGCTTGAACTAGACTAAGTTCTGATTACACACAACTGGTGCAACCGGCCCCAGGCCCTCAGACAACTCAGATTTGACTGACAGAATTAGAACATCTATCTTTATACATCTTCCCCCAATGCGCATTCAATTATGAAATAAATTAGTAAATTTCATTGTGCTCTCAGTTACCAATAGGAGAGTTACTCTCACAACTTTTAGACAGAATCTACAGAATTCAACAGATTCTATATCCAAAATAAGCAGAGAAAATGTAAAGTTCAATGGAATAGGTGCGATAAGACATCTGATTTTTAATAACAACAAATTACAGTCTGTCGTGTTAACGACGCAAACAAGTTGGCCAGTGTTTTGAATAAGTAAAAGGTTTAGGTTTACATTCTCTACTCACCTGCTGTATTTTTCCGCAGCTCATCAGAGAGTTGGTAGTTCTGTGTTCTCAGCTCCAAGAGCTGAGCCTGATGAAGCACATTAAAAGATCAATTAATATAGCAAAACATACTATTTGAGGTAACAAGGTATTTGATATACATATTATTGATTTCTGTAAACCAGAAATAATAACCACCTAGACAACAAATCATCACACAGTCTCTTTTTATGTTATGAATCATGTTAAAACGGCTGTTTACAATGAATTAAGAGTTTATTCACGTAATGGAAACATTTAATTAAAGAGTCGGGTTGCTAACTATTTAATAGCCTAGCACTCACACGAAATACGTTTAAAGAACTAAATGTATAACGTACAAACCCTTTTAATGTGTAGAAAAGCAATAATATCAGCTGTTTGGTCCCCATAGGTTTTTAACATTCTAAAAGCTCTTTATTCCAAAGATACTACAAGCTAGTCAGTGTATTCAGTAGGTGTAATGTATTCTAAGTTGCTTCAGAAGTATTGCAAGTATTACATACAACAATAAAACGGTGCATTGACATAAGAAAGTAAATATACTTTTGGTACTTAAGTACTTTTAAAAGCAAGTACTTCTGTACTTTTACTTAAGTAAAAATCTCTTTACAACTTTTACTTGTAATGGAGTAATTTTTGACCAGCAGTATCTGTACTTTCACTCAAGTAATGGAGTTGAGTACTTTGTCCGCCTCTGGTCACATGACATGCATTTAAATATAGATTTTAATTTTTAATATTTTATTTCAAATCATACAATTTTGAGTTTTGTTTTAAAATCATTTATTCGTTTAAATTTTACACTCTACAGGATTGAGGTGCATGAGCAAAACATGAACTCCTTGATATATTTTAAGCTTCTGCAAATATTTACTTTAATATATTAAGTTCAATATTTATAAGTTCATACATTGTAACTTAATGCCCACTGATGCTTGAACTAGACTAAGTTCTGATTACACACAACTGGTGCAACCGGCCCCAGGCCCTCAGACAACTCAGATTTGACTGACAGAATTAGAACATCTATCTTTATATATCTTCCCCCAAGGCGTGTTCAATTATTAAATAATTTAATCAATTTGATTGTGCTCTCAGCTACCAATAAAAGAGGTACTCTCACAACTTTTTGACAGAATTAAATCTTCAAAATTCAACAGATACTATAAAATAAAAGAATGTGACAAAGGTTGGAACAGGTTTAACAAGACATCTGATTTTTAACAACAACAAATTACAATCTTTAGATTTTAATTTTTAATATTTTATTTCAAATCATACAATTTTGAGTTTTGTTTTAAAATCATTTATTCGTTTAAATTTTACACTCTACAGGATTGAGGTGCATGAGCAAAACATGAACTCCTTGATATATTTTAAGCTTCTGCAAATATTTACTTTAATATATTAAGTTCAATATTTATAAGTTCATACATTGTAACTTAATGCCCACTGATGCTTGAACTAGACTAAGTTCTGATTACACACAACTGGTGCAACCGGCCCCAGGCCCTCAGACAACTCAGATTTGACTGACAGAATTAGAACATCTATCTTTATATATCGTAGCCACTTTTAACTAAATGTAAATATACACCCCGTATTTTTTATTCCATAGTAAGGGCAATTCATACAATACATTTAAACTGAGCTACTTTAATACCATCTCCGAACTTTCTACCACGACTCTGCTGTTCTTCGGCTGGTTCTTCCCTGTATACGTTGATTGACAGATGTCTCGTCCAGTCAGCGGTGAGTAATCCCAAACCAATGGCGCTGTCTCAAACTATACCTACCTCTTCCGGTTTGTCTGAATTGTTGTTGTGCTTTCTGAATTGTTATTTGGTTTTTTAGACTTGCATTTGCGTTGGTAATTTGTTATTTTGTTTTCAGAATTGTGATTTGTTTAGCACTTCTCGGCCACCGTAGTAAAGGTTTAGGGTTACATTCTCCACTCACCTGCTGTATTTTTCCGCAGCTCATCAGATAGTTGGTAGTTCTGTGTTCTCAGCTCCAAAAGCTGAGCCTGTCGACACACACATTAAAAGTGAAAGTAATAGAGCAAAACATACTATATGAGGTATATTAGATGCTTCAGGAGTTGTAAACAAGATTATGCTAGAGCAAAACGAGAGCGATGTGATATTTAATAGCCTAACATTTACACGAAATACGTCTAAAGAAGTAAATATACAACCTACAAACCCTTTAGTTGTGTAGAAAAGCAATCATATCAGCTGTTTGGTGTGTTAACGGTGCTAATGTTCAGTAACAACAGGGTAAACACATCTTTATTATGTCCCAAACGCGTCAAAGAGCGACTATATTCAATGTCATTTTAACAAACACTCATTTTGTTAGCTAAACGATTACATACACTAAATAAAAATATCGTAATCGTCAATTAAAATACATTTTCGGCCTCATAACATTTAGCTTCCAGGCTAACGGCTACAGCTAACAGAGTCCCAATCGGCTCAGATGGACATCATCGACTTCACCCATAAAACAGACCCGTTTGCACATATTCTCAACCGAAATTGCATGTAAACACGTTAACGATCTCGTATGTGCATCACATGCTGTATCAGATATAGAGATGTGTACCTGCATACGGTGGAACTCCTCTTCTGACAGTGCTTGCGCCATCTTCACTACAGCAAAACACTGCTGACAGAATATAAACTCTCTCTATCTGCTATTACTGTGTCTGCTGTCAGCCTTGTATTAGCAAATTAACTCATTCTGATAAGATGACGGTTAAAGCTGCAGCTTTCTGATGTCGTCCATCTAAACGCTTTGGCTTGCTGACAGATCCCCCCCACCATGAGTGATGTCTGCACCTGTCCTGTAGATGGCGCACTAACACAATGTATTCACTACTGTGGCTGCGATAACATGGGCTGTGGTTCAAAAACCTAGTGAGCTGACTACCTAGACGGCACAACTGTGGGCCCCTATGCTGATTGGTCAAAAATTAGTTACAGTTACAGATCGAGCATTCACTTAGATGTGTGAATTAAGACTACAGAAATGATTTTATGCTCTTTTGTCAGCGCAGACAATCATCGGTGACAAAATAACCATTCATATCGCATACACTGTAAAAAATAAGTGTAATTTTAACTGTAAGATTTTGTAAAAACGCTACGGGAAAAAAACTGTTAATAGGCTAACAGTAAGTTCCCGTATTATATACAGTGAAAAACGGTAAAATGTCTAACCAGACATTTCATGTAATTTTACAGTAAAATGCTGTTAATTTTACAGTTTTTAGAAGTAAAAATAACAAATCAATGTATAATTTACAGTCAAAAACTGTAAACTGATATTCCCAGAATTCCCTGCATGACATTTGAAAGTATTTTGTTTAAATAATCATGTTTTTTTAATAGTTTTTGTTATTAGTTATGTATATTTGGGCTTTATGTTACATCTGTTGTTTAATGAAAGTTTAATGCATTATTTAAGTATCATGTGTGTTACCGTGATGGTGTTTTGTGTTTGCATGAATGACTCTGTGCACTTTCTATACAGGTGCATCTCAATAAATTAGAATGTCGTGGAAAAGTTCATTTATTTCAGTAATTCAACTCAAATTGTGAAAGTCGTGTATTAAATAAATTCAATGCACACAGACTGAAGTAGTTTAAGTCTTTGGTTCTTTTAATTGTGATGATTTTGGCTCACATTTAACAAAAACCCACTAAGGTTCAAAAAACACATTATTTTCCGCATACTGTACATTATTGTTTCTCCTTCTCCTAATTTTTTACAAAGCTCATCGGTCTGAAAAGCGAGGTGTGCTCTGATTGGCCAGCTATCCAGTGCATTGTGATTGGCCGAATACCTCAAGCGTGTGACGGAAATGTTACGCCCCTTACCATATGATGCCGTGTCCCGGAGCGACGAGACAAAACCAATAAAACCCATTATAAACGAGGCATTTGTTGCATCCAGTGGGGACATAATTATGGATTATAATGACTTATACTGTCTTTTTTACGCGTTGCATTGCGCCGCGTAAACAAAAAAAAATGTCTGCATTTGTGATCGGAGAAATGACAAACAACAAGCGCTACTCTACACTGCTCAAAACTCGCGTTTGAATCATCAGTGGCAAATCCTTTAAATATGAGAACGTACTTACAGACTGTGAGTCATTACAGCTGGCATTGTAGTCTACTCTCCCAGGATCAGGAAACAGTCCTCCATAAAATGCACTGCACACATCTGAATTTTTGGGTTGAACTGTTCTGGAACAGTGTTGTAAATAAATAGTCGTGTCCTCTTTTGGAAGACCAAACAAAGTATTTTCGCTTTCGCAACGAAACACACAGCGTCTTCACAACATGGCGGCGGCGGCAGTGGCAGCAACAATAAAGTTATGCCTTCTTTCTTTGCGTGAACATTGCGTTATGCAAATCTTCCCACACTGTGACGTAGACATGTGGGGGCGTGTAACGAGGCGTTTTAGGAGGGCGTGGACCAGTCTTAAATTTTATAAAAAATATCTCTTTGGGTTTGAGACTTTAGTCTTTGCAACTTTAGGGATCTTATCTATTCACGAACAGCTTGTAATTCTCCAAAGAGAAAGGAAAACTTGAAATCGCATCATATGACCCCTTTAAGGAAACACGCCAAGCCCACAAAAAAAAGAAGACATACAGTATATTCAATGCAGCCACATTTCCCATTTCATACAAACCCACTGAATTTACCATAAAACATGGAAATAAAACAGCAACTTGTTTGTTGGGTGGTAGGTTACCCAAAGTTACAAGAGAGACAGAAGGCCAGTGCTCAATGTATCTGCTCTCCCCCTGTCTGTGGAACTCCTGCCGGGCTGCGGGGCAGTGGAGTATTTTGAAAGGTGACAAATAAAGAGACGGTCCTTTTCCTTTTTGATCCATCGCAGCAGTTTAGTGAGTTCACTGATAGCTGATTTCTCAGTGAAGAGTAGAGTAAAGCAGGCGTACATCTCAAATTTGCTATATCTGCAAAAAAGAGACAGTTTAGAAAATACATACAGTATACTGTATAATGTAAATATTATATATACTGTACACTACCATTTAAAAGTTTGGGATTGGTACAATGTTTTTGAAAAAAGTATCTTGCTCACCAAGGCTGCATTCATTTGATCAAAAATACAGTAAAAACTGAAATATTGTGAAATATTATTGCAATTAAAAATAACAGTTTTCTATTTGAATGTATTTTTAAATGCAATTGAATCCTCTGATTGTAAAGCTAAATTTTCAGCATCAGTCTTCAGATCCTTCAGAAATCATTCTAATATGCTGATCTGGCATTCAAGAAACATTTCTTATTATCATCAATGTTGAAAACAGTTGTGCTGCTTAATTTTTATTATTATTTTTTCATTTCTTCTTGAGCAATGGTCAACTCTGATTTCTTGTTGAACTTTTTAAACCCAGAACATGCTGATCTACTGAAGTTGTCTTGATTCTGAAAACATACCCAGGCCAGCAGAGTTTCTTTGCCTGCAGAATGGTAGACAGGCACGTGCACAGTTAGGGCTCAACCTGTGCAGAGCACATGCCCTTTTTGCCCTTACACTCCAAAGTGTCCTTTTTTTGTGTGTGTGTTTTTTCTTCTTCAATAAATCAATGGTCTTTTTTACGCGTTGCATTGCGCCGCGTAAACAAAAAAAAATGTCTGCATTTGTGATCGGAGAAATGACAAACAACAAGCGCTACTCTACACTGCTCAAAACTCGCGTTTGAATCATCAGTGGCAAATCCTTTAAATATGAGAACGTACTTACAGACTGTGAGTCATTACAGCTGGCATTGTAGTCTACTCTCCCAGGATCAGGAAACAGTCCTCCATAAAATGCACTGCACACATCTGAATTTTTGGGTTGAACTGTTCTGGAACAGTGTTGTAAATAAATAGTCGTGTCCTCTTTTGGAAGACCAAACAAAGTATTTTCGCTTTCGCAACGAAACACACAGCGTCTTCACAACATGGCGGCGGCGGCAGTGGCAGCAACAATAAAGTTATGCCTTCTTTCTTTGCGTGAACATTGCGTTATGCAAATCTTCCCACACTGTGACGTAGACATGTGGGGGCGTGTAACGAGGCGTTTTAGGAGGGCGTGGACCAGTCTTAAATTTTATAAAAAATATCTCTTTGGGTTTGAGACTTTAGTCTTTGCAACTTTAGGGATCTTATCTATTCACGAACAGCTTGTAATTCTCCAAAGAGAAAGGAAAACTTGAAATCGCATCATATGACCCCTTTAAGGAAACACGCCAAGCCCACAAAAAAAAGAAGACATACAGTATATTCAATGCAGCCACATTTCCCATTTCATACAAACCCACTGAATTTACCATAAAACATGGAAATAAAACAGCAACTTGTTTGTTGGGTGGTAGGTTACCCAAAGTTACAAGAGAGACAGAAGGCCAGTGCTCAATGTATCTGCTCTCCCCCTGTCTGTGGAACTCCTGCCGGGCTGCGGGGCAGTGGAGTATTTTGAAAGGTGACAAATAAAGAGACGGTCCTTTTCCTTTTTGATCCATCGCAGCAGTTTAGTGAGTTCACTGATAGCTGATTTCTCAGTGAAGAGTAGAGTAAAGCAGGCGTACATCTCAAATTTGCTATATCTGCAAAAAAGAGACAGTTTAGAAAATACATACAGTATACTGTATAATGTAAATATTATATATACTGTACACTACCATTTAAAAGTTTGGGATTGGTACAATGTTTTTGAAAAAAGTATCTTGCTCACCAAGGCTGCATTCATTTGATCAAAAATACAGTAAAAACTGAAATATTGTGAAATATTATTGCAATTAAAAATAACAGTTTTCTATTTGAATGTATTTTTAAATGCAATTGAATCCTCTGATTGTAAAGCTAAATTTTCAGCATCAGTCTTCAGATCCTTCAGAAATCATTCTAATATGCTGATCTGGCATTCAAGAAACATTTCTTATTATCATCAATGTTGAAAACAGTTGTGCTGCTTAATTTTTATTATTATTTTTTCATTTCTTCTTGAGCAATGGTCAACTCTGATTTCTTGTTGAACTTTTTAAACCCAGAACATGCTGATCTACTGAAGTTGTCTTGATTCTGAAAACATACCCAGGCCAGCAGAGTTTCTTTGCCTGCAGAATGGTAGACAGGCACGTGCACAGTTAGGGCTCAACCTGTGCAGAGCACATGCCCTTTTTGCCCTTACACTCCAAAGTGTCCTTTTTTTGTGTGTGTGTTTTTTCTTCTTCAATAAATCAATGCTATTGGTCACCCTTTACGTCTGTCTGTCTGTTTTAGAAATATTTAGCCAATGAAAGGTATTAAAAAGAGCTTGTGAATGAAAGGTATTAAAAAGAGCTTGTGACTGAAAGGTATTATAAAGAGCTTGTGACTTAATCTTGTTGGCTCCGCTCAAACTGCCAGTAAAAACCTCATAACTCCACACCCTCTGTCTTCACTGAATGAACTGAAGTTCCACAGCAACTTGCAAGGGTAGCCTAAATAAAGATCTTGTTGTTTGAATAATTACAGCGTTTTCTTTACGCAAGAAACACTGTCTATAAAGGCTCATATTTGATGTATTTGAGGCCTGAGACATGTGGGACTGGAAAGAGAGGGCTAGCATTTGCCATCTAGTCATTAAATAGCATTGTGCATACAGTAGCATTTAATCTTTTATAAAATGAGATTTTGGCCAAATGTATTTTACAACAGGAAAAAACTGAGCGCCCATATAGCTACAACAAACTCTGTAACCTGTTGATGAAAACGTAACGTGATGTCACCGTTTTAACGATGGACAAATTGCATATTTGCACACGTTCAC